ATGTATTTATTTCTCATGTGTTTCTGTCTATTGTATATCGGTTCTTTATGCTGTGGACAAGATGAGAGAATAGTGTAAATCATGAGTCAGCAAATTATAGCCTGTGGTCTTATTTTTTTAATGACTCTTGAACTAAGAATGGTTTTTACATTTTTGAAAGGTTACTTTTAAAGGGTCATAGAAAGAATATGTGACAGAGACCACATATTTATCTGCAAACTCTTTAAATATTTACTATCTTGCTCTTTATAGAAAAAGCTTGCCAACTCAACCTAGTGAAACCATTTTGTTACAGTGTGTATTGATTTGTAAGCTCTTTAAAGAAGAGAAAGATACCTAATAGGATTAAGCTACCACTGTGTGATGTAATGAAGGCTTTATAGTTACTACCTCATTTAATTCCTCCATCTACTTTATATTCACTTTCTCTACTTTATTGAAAAGAAAATCAGTCTTAAGAAAGGAATATCTCAACTTGCCTATGGTAACACAGCTCTTAAGTAGCAGAATCAGGCCTGCTGCAACTCAGAGACCTGAATTTATAAGAGAGTTCTACAGTTCATAAAAGTGCAGTGAATTGTACCAACACTTAGAATAAGACACTGTTCTGAATTTGTGTCGTAGTTTTTTTTCACGTTGATATTAATAGAGGCCTCTATTGGAGTTAGGCTAAAAATTGTCATGAAAATTGTAAATGACACTGCTGACTTTTCTCTGTTAATTATCAGTGTATAAGCTAATAAAAACTTTGGCTTGGGGCCGGGCGTGGTGGCTCACGCCTGTAATCCCAGCACTTTGGGAGGCCGAGGCGGGTGGATCACGAGGTCGAGAGATCGAGACCATCCTGGTCAACATGGTGAAACCCCGTCTCTACTAAGAATACAAAAATTAGCTGGGCATGGTGGCGCACGCCTGTAGTCCCAGCTACTAGGGAGGCGGAGGCAGGAGAATTGCCTGAACCCAGGAGGCGGAGGTTGCGGTGAGCCGAGATCGCGCCATTGCACTCCAGCCTGGGTAACAAGGGCAAAACTCCGTCTCAAAAAAAAAAAAAAAAAAAAACCTTTGGCTTGGTATTATGTTCTAGTGGTTAAATGTGTCATAGAAAGAATATGTGGTGAATTATTTAGGCATTGTAATAAATCTTGAAATCTTTTTTGAAAATTAGACAGTTTTAAATTTTCATTTGTTTCATTTTAATAATTGAGTTCAGATTAAGTGGGAAGTTTAAATTTGAATTCAGTTTTTCTCAAAATATTATTTTTCTATTATTTTAAGGCATTCCTTGGAGGTTTGAATTGGGCATTTATAGGTGTTGATGAAGCACATCGATTAAAGAATGATGACTCCCTTCTGTATAAAACTTTAATAGATTTTAAATCCAATCATCGTCTCCTTATCACTGGAACTCCTCTACAAAATTCGCTTAAAGAGCTCTGGTCTTTGCTACATTTCATTATGCCAGAAAAGTAAGACAAATTTGCAGTTTTAATTATAGTTTTGTATAGTTATGTTTAGTGGGGAAAAACCCAGGTAATAAGATCAGTAAGAGTTTTTATTGCCTTAAAAGATTAGATCACAGATTACAAATAATTTTTAAAAAAGGAAAATGGGGTTAGCTACTTTGTAATACTATTTGAATTTTTCGATTTTGTTAATAAACGTAAGCCATGTGTAATAAATCACAACAGTTGATTTTGAGCATGTTCAAAATATACCTTGCTTGGAAAACTAACACAGTGCCATTCTTTGTATTTAATAGTTGGAGTAACAACAATGAGGTGCTGGTAATCCCTTTTTCTAAATGAGGAAAACTAGACTAGACAAGGCTAAATATGTTCCCTAAGATCACTACTTGTTCTTTCAGTAGATCCAGAACTTGGTCCAGAACTTGAAAAGAATATTTTTGAGAAATAGATAATTACTACCATACTTCAAAACACTTCATATTCACTTGATTCAAGAATCGTAACTTATAAAACATTAGATTTCATCATACTTCTACTTGGGAGAAAGATTTTTAGAAGTAACTAAGTTTAGCTAATTTTTTTTTTTTTTTTTCTAAAAATCTGTATTATTTTGCTTACAAATGACTCCCCTAAAAAAAAGTCTCATACACAATTTGACTTTTTCTGGTGATTTTGCAATTTCTTAAATTTTAAAGGTTTTCTTCCTGGGAAGATTTTGAAGAAGAACATGGCAAAGGGAGAGAATATGGTTATGCAAGCCTTCACAAGGAGCTTGAGCCGTTTCTGTTACGCCGAGTTAAGAAAGATGTGGAAAAATCTCTTCCTGCCAAGGTTGAGCAGATTTTAAGAATGGAAATGAGTGCTTTACAGAAACAATATTACAAGTAAGCTGTACACTGAGCATATGTTCTGAACACCTTCCATGTCTGTGTCCTCCTCTTGGTGCTCCTACCTTCTTCTCTACAATAGTGTCTTAGAGCTGTTGCAATTCTCGAATTCTAGAATTAGTTTATTCTGTGCCATAAGGAGGCAGAGGGAAATTTAATGACATGTCCAAAATGATTTGTGACAAGGCTGAGTAATTGATCTTCTAATACATCATTAATTGCTTTCCTAGATACCATACTGTTACTTTATAAAGAGTTTCAGTGTTAGGATTTCCATTATATGAAGGTATTATATGATTATGACAATTAACAGATAGAGACCAAAAAAAGAAACTTAGAACAAAATTTTAGGCCCTGCTGCTTTTTGAAGAGTATTAACAAATCATAGCTGGTGTAAATTTGTATGTTAAGATCTATACAGTAGCCCTTTTCAAAGAATCAGAAAGGAAAATCTGTTCTAATATCTATTTAAACATTTAAATGCATAAAATGAAATACATTGATACAAATCATTTGGAATTTCAGAAACATTTATATTTTATGGTAAATAAATAGGTGCCATACATTTGAAAGAATATCCTTATTGCATAATTTTTACTATGGAAAATTTCAGACATATACAAAAATAGGATAATTTAATGAACTCTCGTACACATGACTCAGTTTCACTTTCTTTTTTTGTTTGTTTTTTGAGACGGAGTCTCCCTCTGTACTCCAGGTGGCATGATCTTGGCTCACTGCAACCTCCACCTTTGGTTTCAAATGATTTTAGTGCTTCAGCCTCTTGAGTAGCTGGATTTACAAGTGTGCCCCACAATGCCCTGCTAATTTTTTTATTTTTAGTAGAGGCAGGGTTTCACCATGTTGGCCAAGGTGGTCTGGAATGCCTGGCCTCAGGCAGTCTACTGGCCTCCGCTTTCTATAGTGCTGGGGTTACAGGTGTCAGCCACTGTGCCTAGCCCCAGCTTCACTTTCAGCTCATAGCCAGTTGTTTTATATTTCTGATCATCCCCATTTCCCCCAGTCCCTATCCTTTTGAATCAAATTAGAGAGTTTTCCATAAACATTTTTCTATGTGTCTCTAATAATTGATTTTTTAAAATACTAGTACCACTTAGGCACTGTGGCTCATGCCTGTCATCTCAACACTTTGGGAGGCTGAGATTGGCAGATTGCTTGAGCCTCACGAGTTTGAGACCAGCCCAGACAACATGGTAAAACCCTGTTTCTACCCAAAATACAAAAAATTAGCCCGAAGTGATGGTGTGTACCTGTTCTCCCAGCTACTTGGGAGGCTGAGGTGGGAGGATTGCTCGAGTCCATGAGGTGGAGGTTGCAGTGAACTGAGCTCATGCCACTGTACTCCAGCCTGGGTGACAGTGAGACCCATCTTAAAATAAATAACCCACTTTAAAATTTTTACAGTAATTTAGGAAATTATTGCTCTCTCAGCAGAATCAAGTAATTTCCTGATACCAATATTCAGTATCAGTGTTGAGTTTTTCTCTGTTGTCTGAAAAAATTTTTAAGTTTACTTGAATCAGGATTGAGATAGGTTTATATAAGACAATTGATTTGTCTCTGAGTTGCTTATCTATAGTTACTTCTTTTTTGTTAAAATTTATTTGATGAGGAAAATAGTTAATTCTGTATAATTTTTCCACAATCTAGATTTGCATAGTACTTCCCTCTAGAATAGTTTAAAAGTATCCCCTGTATTTTCTATAGGTTGTAGATAGATCTAGGTGCTTGATAATATTCAGATTTTAATTATGATGAGTATATTTTGCAGTGCACAATGGTGATTATCTAATTTTGTTATGGGGTTCTTTGAAAAAAAAAGCAATGCGTTTTATAGAAAGTTTGGAAAGGAAAGTCAAAGCAGGAAGAAGACACATTAACCTGTAATTCTCTCAGTGCTAGTCATATATCATGGATATTGAACTTAAACTCTTCAAGGTACTTTTTGGCAACTGAGATAATAAGATACTGCCATAAATTTCTGTAAATCATCTTAGAATTATTGCCACTAGAGAAATTAATAAGAAATTTTTTCTGGATAAGGAAAAATAGTCCTTTATTCTTGATTACCTCTTAATGACATCGACCATTGTCCATGTGTTTTATTTTGCTTTTCATTCCAGTTTTGGGAAAGCGCCTATACAACTAGTGGTAAAAAGAATGGCAAAAAAAGAATAGGCACACTAGATAGTTGAGACTTTCAAGTCCTTTCGAAAACTGACCTTGTAAAAAGGAAGAAAATAAAAGGTAGAAAAGGTCATAGTGAGAGGAAATTTTTCTTCTCTTTTTTAAATTCAGCTTTTGTTTTAGATACTGGAAGTACGCATGCAGGTTTGTTACATGGGTATATTACATCCAGGTAGTGAGTGTGGTAAGCAGTAGGTAGTTTTCAACCCATGTTCCCCTTCCTCCAGCTCCCCTTTAGTAGTCCACAGTGTTAGATGTTTATATCCATATGTGCTCAGCACTTAAAAGTGAGAACATGCAGTATTTGGTTTTCTGTTTATGTGTTAATTCACTTAGAATTATGGTTTTTAGCTCCATCCATGGACGTTATTTTATTTGAAGGACATTATTTCATCCTTTTTTTCTCACGAGTGTGTAGTATTTATGATGTACATATACAAAAAAATATGGAGTGTTCATGGATTTGTGTGTCATTCTTGTACAGGGACAGTACTAATCTCTGTATCATTCCAGTTTTAGTATAAGTGCAGCCGAAGCGAGCACAGGAAATGTTATAAGTCGGAGTAGTAAAATAGCACCAAAATGTTTTAAGTTGCATATGTATTGTGTAATTGCAATCTGGAGAAGGCAGTGTGGCTAAAATAAGGTATCCTCAGGTTTCTTTTAGGTCCATGCCAAAGATCCAATTTCATTTGCTGTCTAATGCAGTGAAAGTTGTAAGAAGATTAAGATAAATAATGCAGCTATCTTTTTAGTGAATTTGAGGGGGAAAGGATTAATACAGTATAATAATTATGTTACATTAAGCCTTTTCTCTGTGTAGCTAATGGTTCAGAAAACAAGTGGTGTTCTCATGAGTATCACGAAAGAGGTTTGGTCCAATGTATATCCAATTGTGAATTTCATAACAGTACAATTTTACTTTGGTACTAGGTTTTGCTTTTTTTTTTTTTTTTTATGCTTTTAGAATTTATCCTGGTAATTTTTCTGCTAAACATCATTTTTATGATTTTTTTTTTTAAAGATGGATTTTAACTAGGAATTACAAAGCCCTCAGCAAAGGTTCCAAGGGCAGTACCTCAGGCTTTTTGAACATTATGATGGAGCTAAAGAAATGTTGTAACCATTGCTACCTCATTAAACCACCAGATAATAATGAATTCTATAATAAACAGGAGGCCTTACAAGTAAGAATTTTTAAATGTTGTTACTTTGTGATAAAGTTCTAGAAATGTTTATTCACTTACAATAGAAAATGGCTCAATGCTTTAATATATTGGTTCTCTTTAGTGCTGCCTTAAATAATTGTCTCAGTTATTTTTTAATCTTTGTAGAAAAGATTTTAAAATTCTAATTTATGTAATTATTTTGATGTATTTTCTAAAAACAGAGCTCTCAAACCATGGACTGTAGTAACTTATCCAGCAAAAAATCCTACAGTATGTTCATAATTATAAAAAAAAATTCATTAATACTAATTATGCTGCATTTGTGATTTGTTAAATGGTAGTCTAAAGGATATCTGAACCTCACATCTTAGCCGTTCCCTGGTACTTCTGAAAGATAAATCAGAAGTGTGAAGGCACAACTGTAGTCCAGCCACTGTAGTGCATTGAAGGGCTAGGATCAGCGTCTAATATTAATACGTTAGAAATCATTTGCTTACTCTTTTTAAACCTTTGGTTGTTTAGTTGCTTCTGCCTCCAGTGTAATTGTTCTTCAGCTAAGATTTTTGGAGAAACACTGTGGTATAGTAACTAGCAAACAAAGTGAAATAGTACTTTTTACCTCCCCGACAATACAAAAACCTAGGTGTGATATGGCAAGGAAAATGTTAGCTTAAGTCATAGAGTGAATGCTAAATAAAGGTCTTAGAAATTTTGAAAAGTGAAATTTGTGAAAATTTGAAGTCTCAATTTAAAATAATTCAGGCTACTAAAGTGTTATATGGACAACTTATCACATCTTTTAACATATAACTAATTTATCGTTTCTATAGCACTTAATTCGTAGTAGTGGAAAATTGATTCTTCTTGACAAGCTATTAATTCGCCTAAGAGAACGAGGCAATCGAGTTCTTATTTTTTCACAAATGGTGCGGATGTTAGATATACTTGCAGAATATTTGAAATATCGTCAATTCCCTTTTCAAGTAAGCATTTAATTGTACTTGTTTTAAATTTTAATTCCTGAGCATATTTCACAGAATTGCCTTTGAAATCATTTAGTAAGTGTTTAGGTTTTTATATAAGATATACTTTTCCTTTAAAGAGATACGTCTGCTAAAAAAAAAAAAAATTGTCATTCCCTTTTTTCTTCTTGACTTGTATGTATTGCAATAAAATTTTTCTTCCTTTACTCTAATTTTTATTTTCTTTTAATTTTGCCTTTTTCTTCTATACTTGCTTTAGATTTTAAAAACTGATCTAAGGCAGAGTTTTCTTGATTGGACAGATCTAAAAGCAGGGAAGCCTTTAGTCTTTAATCTGAATGTGAATGCTGCCAAGATTCTAATGACTGTTGTGCTCATAGTTAGCTGACGCAGTGTTTGCTGAGTAAAACTAGACAACGTTAGAGAAGAAACTAAGACCAAAATTCTCACTCATCTATTCAAAATTTATGTTGAAGTTCATTCAATATAACTAAAGCTAATATTGATGACTGTTTAAAGTCAGGTTCTATTTTCAGTACTTTACATCTAATTATTTAATTCTTGAAGCAATTTTATGAACAGTATTAGGAACATAGAAGACATTTATAGATACAGCTAGTAAATGGTGTATATTTAGTGCAGATAGTAAAATAGCTGTAAAATTATAATAATGGGACTCAATACACAATCCTTGCTTTGTCAGAGCTTATAATCTCATAGGAGACAGACATCAAGCAGGTAATCATAAATAAAGGTAACATTACAATTCTGGTAAGTGTTGTGAAGAAAGACAGGTTATTTGGTGATGTGAACATTATTGAGAAATATTACAGTAATTTAAGGGAAAACGTAGAAGAGATTAGTTGAGGTTTTTGAAAACATCTTTATTGATCAGTAATTCCAGTACCATACATTTTACCCATTCAAGTATACAATTCCGTGGTTTTTACTATGTTCACAGATATATGTAATTGTCACACAGGTGGTTTTAGAACATTTTCATCAGAAAGAAACCTGTACGCTTTAGCTATTCCTCCTGTCCTTCCAATTTGCCTTCCTCTCCTGCCCTGTGTTGTTTTGTTTTTTGTTTTTGAGATGGAGTTTCACTCTTATTGCCCAGACTGGAGTTTAATGGCACAATCCATTAAGGTGACCTCCGCCTTCCGGGTTCAAGCAATTCTCCTCCCTCAGTCTCCTGAGTAGCTGGGATTACAGGCATGCACCACCACACCTGACTTATTTTGTGTTTTTAGTAGAGATGGAGTTGCTCCATGTTGTCAAGCTGGTCTTGAACTCCCAACCTCAGGTGATCCGCTTACCTTGGCCTTCTAAAGTGCTGGGATTACAGACGTGAGCCACTGCACCCAGCCCCTGTGTTGATTTGTTTTTAAACAAATTATTGTGCACATGATCAAACAAAAAATTAGTTTGGCTAATTTTGAGTGTTCATAAGTACCACTTCCCTGCCGCTAATCCCTTCTTATTCCCAGGTCACTTCCTGGAGGGAATCATTTTTAATTTTAATTTGGTTTAGGTCATGCCACAGTGATGAGATGCCACTATTCTTAAAATGTGTACTAATTTGTATTTTAGTGGAAAAGAAAAAACACTATTTTTAATAGACATCTCTTTTTCTACTTTGTATAGGTGATAATTTAGAGCATTTCACTTAAACCAAAACCACTTAGAATACATAATTTAAAATGTTTATCATATTTTTCTTTTCAGAGTCAAAGTTCATATAGTAACAAAGCAAAGGTAGGCATATGGCTTCCCAAAATACTAGTTTAATTCATGAGTTAAATGCATGGATCCTAGTAGGCAAGTTATTTCTAGTCTATAACAGGTTAATAATTATAAAATCATTGCCATTATAAAGCGAAATAGTAGCTAATGTTTAATAAGCATTCAGTATGTGTAGGCACTGTGATACGTGTTTTCCTATGCTCTGTCACCAAGTTCTTGATAGTCTATGAAGGAGGGACTACTTTTATATCTATTTTACTTAAAGTGTAACTGACATGGAGAAGAAGTTTGTAGAGGAAAGTCAGATCACTTGCTCAAGATGCCCAGTGAATAAGATACTCAAATGCAGGCGGTTGACTAGAGCCCATGATGCTTCATACCAATAATTTTCAAAGTTTAGTGTGCATCAGAATTAACTGGATGGCCTTTGCTAAACCTCTTCAGTAGGTCTTGGATAGAGCTCAGTAATTTGCCTATCTACGTTCTCAGTTGACGCTAATGCTGTTCTAGTAACCATATTGGACTTAATCAGTGTTTTTAAAACTGAATTGTAGGCTGAGTGGCTTATGCCTGCAATCCCAGCACTTTAGGAGGCCCAGGTGGGCGGGTCACCCGAGGTCAGGAGTTTAAGACAAGCCTAACCAACGTGTGAAACCCCGTCTCTACTAAAAATACAGAAATTAGCCAGGTGTGGTGGTGGACGTCTGTAATCTCAGCTACTCGGGGAGGCTGAGGCAGGAGAATCACTTGAACCTAGGAGGCGGAGGTTGAGATGAACCAAGATCGTGCCACTGCCCTCCAGCCTGGGCTACAAGAGGGAAACAGTCTCAAAAAAAAAAAAAGAAAAAAAAGCACTGAATTGTAAATGGATCTGTGAATCAGTTTAATCAGTCGTACCAACATTTGAAAGTAAAATGATAAAACATGAGAGTATAATACACTATATCATGTTAGGGTATGAAACTTGTTTCAGGTGTTTATAAACAGCTATGTACTTAATCACATATCTCTTAGAATGGGACTCAGGCAGAACAATATGACAGCCTATGCTGTATTTACTCTTGAGGTTGCAGTCTTAGTGATTTGGAGCACAGACTAAAGACAGAATGCCTGAGCATTATTTTACTTTCTATTATAGTTCTATTATAGTTTTAGTAAAGGACATGCTTTACATTTCTACTTAATTTTATAATTGATTTTAATTGCTTTGTAACATTTTTATTCTGTTATATGCAGTATTTTAATGTGTTTTATTGTAGAGATTAGATGGATCAATAAAAGGAGAACTGAGGAAACAAGCCCTAGATCATTTTAATGCTGAGGGATCAGAGGTATGTATTAGTGCTTTTTAAATTACAAGTAATTTTGATTTAGTATTAGTATATTACATTATTATATTATTCAGACTTTTTTTAAATCTTTATGTCCAGCTTGATAAAAAAGAGTAGGGTTAGCCACCTTCAATCAGCAAATGAGGTTTTAAAGTCACTCTTATAGGTTAAACCTAAGAATTTTATTTTATTTTATTTATTTTTTATTTTTTTGAGACGGAGTTTCGCTCTTGTTACCCACGCTGGAGTGCAATGGCGCAATCTTGGCTCACCGCAACCTCCACCTCCTGGGTTCAGGCAATTCTCCTGCGTCA